CACGTGGCAAGGTATAGATTTATGGAAATGGTTAATTTAAGATAAAAGAACAGTTAGCAAGAAGCCTGCCACAGCCATACAGTTTGTAAGCAATATAAGTCTCTGTGTTTACTTGGTTGGGTCTGAGCGGCTGTGGGACTGGAGGGTGACAAAGATTTGTCCTGACTGTGGGCAAGGCAGGAAAACTAAAGCTACACTCGTTTCTTAAACAATTAGTCCTATGTATACGTTTTTTTTTCCTCATGAAGTTGCTTTTCAGACTTCTTTTCTTTTAAATTTTGTAAACAAATTTGAATATCTATTAAATATTACAGTTGGCTCAAATTATCTTAAAAACTAATATTAATAGAATTTTGACTACTGAAAAAGTATACATTAAGCTGCATATTGTTTCATTTGCTTGTCTAGACGTGTTAGTATTTCTTGAAAGGTACTTTTTTTTATTAACATAAGTTACAAAGTTCCCCAATTCTTTATTGTCTGCTTGTGTAACTGAAATGTACTAAAAATAAAGGATTAACTCAATGCATTTCATTGCTGAGGACTCTTTTATAAAACAGAGGTGGAAAACAAAGCTAGTTTATGTTATAAATACAAATAAACACAGTCCAAAATCTGTGATGACTATATAACTCACTACACATTAAATATTTTAGTTTCTGTCAAATTTCAGTTAAAACACTTATGACCAAATGTTTATGATAAAAAAAAAAAACTTGGTAGATTCTTTCAAAACATCTGAATATAAAAGATGCAGAAATTCATTTTGGATTCCAGTATCATAGAACTCAAATGGAAACATCAAAAATATAAATGAGGCCATCCCTCAACATTGGTCTCTTATTTTCTTTTTTTTTTTAATTTTTGAAATTAATTTTACATACTAACCACAGTTTCCACTCCCTCCTCTCCTTCCATCTCCCCCCACTTCCTTTCTACTCCACCCCATCCACTCCTCAGAAAGGGGCAGGCCTCCCATGGGAGTAACCAAGCATGGCATCTCAAGTTGAGGCAGGACCCAGCTCCTCCCCCTCTGCATGAAGGCAGAGCTAGGCATCCCACCATAGCGAATAGGTTCCAAAAAGCCAGCTCATGCACCGTTAAAGATTCAGATCCCACTTAAAGGGACCCGACAAACAGACCAAGTTACACAACTGTCACTCGCATTCAGAGGGCCTAGGTCGATTGTAGCTGTTGGTCTAGCTAGATTCAGCGAGCTCCCACAAGCTCCAGTCAACTGTCCCTGTGGGTTTTCTGTCATGATCTTGACACACACATGCTCATATTGTCCCTCCTCCCTGTCTTCAACTGGGCTCCCTGGGCTAGACCCAGTACTTGGCTGTGAATCTCTGCATCTGTGTCCATCAGTTCCTGGATGAAGTTTCTATGATGACAATTAGGGTAGTCACTAATCTGATTACAGAAGAAGGCCAATTCAGGTACCCTCTCCACTATTTCTAGGAGTCTTAACTGATGTCATTATTCATAATAGACAGAACATGGGAACAACCTAAATGCCCCTCAACTGAAGAATGGATAAAGAAAATCTGGTACATTGACACAATGGAGTATTACTCAGCGGTAAAGAACAATGACATTATGAAATTTGCAGGCAAATGGATGGAACTAGAAAAAATCATCCTGAGTGAGGTAACCCAGACCCAGAAAGACAAACAGGGTATGTCCTCAGGCATAATTGGATGTTAGATATAAAGCAAAGGATAACCAGGGTACAATCTGAAACCCCAGAGAAGCTAGGTAACAAGGATGAACCTAAGAGGGACTCATAGATTGCCCTGGGAAAGGGAAATAGATGAGATTTCCTTGGTACACTGGGGATGGGGCTTGGGGGAGAGAGGAGAGGAGAGAGGATGATGAATGAGAACATGAGGTATCTGGATGGCTGACTTGTCGGAGGGTCTGAGAGGGAGAGCAATAAAAGACATATCTTGATAGAGGGGGCCATTATGGGGTTAGGGGAAAACCTGGTGCCGGGGCCTCTCCATTTCCAAATAGCTCTAAGTTTTCTTCATGATACATTAAGCTAAATACTGTAAATTTTTGTTTTAAAGATGAAACATTGCCAGGTAAAAAGAAAGAATGTTGTAGCATGTTCTCCTATATTCTCGGTTTTATAAACTAAGTACATAGATGTGACCTTGGCACAGAGTAGGCAGTCAAAGAGTTAACACTTATTTTGATGCCTAAATACGTGAAAAGAGAGTGAGATGAATTGATTGCTTGATTGATTGTACTGACATTTATAAAACTGTTTCTAAGCCCTTCCTCCTCTACCATTGGTTTAATGAATCGATGGGTGCTGAGATTAAGTTACAATCCCTACTACAAATTACAAGTTTCCTATTTCCCTAGATGTATAATTCACATATTTTATCACAGAACATCTACTAAGAAAGAATGGTTTTGTCCATAAAAATACAAGATAATTTGCAAGATACACATAATTAGTCTAAAAATCCTACAATCTCAAACTAAGATACCAACATAGTAACTACACATTGCCTAAGTAGAAAGTTATCTAGAAAGCCCAAAACTTATGGTACATTTGAGTGCTTGAACTGAAAAGTTAGAAAACGAAATGGTAGTATTCTAGACAGTTGATGAAGAGACTTGCATTAAAGTATAGGAGAGAATGTACACACGTACCCCCGAAAAAGTATACATTTCAATTAGACAAATCATTGCCAGAATGAAAACTTTCAAGTGTGATGACTCTTCTTTCATGTGATCTGAGAAATGCAAAGAACTGCAAAGGATATTTCAGGGACCTGTTCCTCACCATGCCTCCTTGCTCTTCTTAAGACCTTTGTGACTGCTAACTTGGTATGCCACATACAAAGAGACACACACTCAAAATTATAAAGTACTAATGATTACCTGACTCAGACAAAACCAGTATTTGTGTATTAGAAAACATGAGGGAACCCTGCAGAACACATAGCATCTTTTACCCATGTCACTGGCATGGAGATATTTTCCTCAGAAGTGTGCGGTAAAGGGAATTGCTATGATCCCACTGGTGTGTTCTCTTAAGAGAAAAATAAAAGCTAAAAGTCTACACATAATGAAGTTTCTCAACTGGAACATCATATCCTATGTATACACATGGCACAGAGTTGCTAAAAGAAACTAGGAAAGAAGGTTCTTGTGATAATAACCACAACTAGTCCAGTGCATGTGTTAATAGAGAGGCTAAAACAGAGATAAATGCACTCCCATACACAGCAAAATACAACTTTAACGTCCAGACTGCTCACTGAGCGAGTAAGATTCTATCAACTGGGGACAGATTGATACAAACAGCTTTTAGGAGAATTAACTGTTAGAAAACTAAGGCTTTCTCTTAGTCAAGATTGATCCTGTGTGAAAATAACAGCATCCATTCTCATGGGTCATTCAATTCTGTTTTAAAGCTCTGAAGGAAAAAGAAATGAAGGCAAACTTCATTTCCAAGCAATGCATCACTATACTTTGAATTCACAGTACAAAACTTCTATAATCCTAATTTTTGAATCTTTTTCAAATCCAGTGATTTTGAAATTCACAGTATCTACAAATATAGATTTTTCTCTAAGTACGATGAACTCCCAAAGTATACTTAAAAAGTTTTTGAAGTTTGATTGATTCCATATTGTCTTGAGTCTGATGAAAAGACCCATTCTTTAGATTGCATTAATGTGCGCTGGACACTATAGGCTCAGATTTGTTCAGGAGTGAACAGAATGCAGGAGTCAAATCAAACAATGGTGATGCCAAACAGGACCAGGCTGGCAGAAGACAGAGAGTGAGACATTGCTAGAACCCCTGCTGCCTTTCAGCACAACTTGAATACCCCAGATTCTGATTTCTAATTATTAACAATACTGCTTTGAAAAGACAGGGCAGATACTTTATGCTTTAAAAAAAAAAGAAGAATAAAAATACATCTAAAGAGCAAAAGCACATCAAAGCCAAATGAAGTGGTTATTATTCAAAACTTTATTGCAGTAGACTGACAGAGAGCTTTTCAAATAAAAAGCATGTTAAATTCAGTCACACCTATTTACGTGTCTGCCGTCTTTATCTCATAAAGAAAACATTTCAATCAACTTAAATAGTCTGCCCCTTTACACCATTAGAGCAGACATCTGAAGAACTAAATGTATATTTTTATTAAATTCTCTTGGTAGCTTAGGGACATTGTCAGTCAATTAAGAGATTTTAGCAAATTTGTATTTTAAGATCCCTATCAGATTCAATCAATTATATCCAGAGCAGTTCAGCAGCTGTAAACATACTTGATTTGCTATAACATGAAAAGGACCCTCAGATGAAAATACCAATATTGAGAAATAATTAGAACATGCAGAGCTCTCCATCACTCTGAAATGCATAAACACAGTGCTACCTACACACCCTAAAGCAGTTAGTACAATAAACTTTGTAACGGGAAAAATACCCTACACTATTCCTTAAAATTATTTGCTATTATCATTTCTTTGGGTTAAAGGGGTATATTTGCATGGAAAGTAACCCCAAGTTCATTTCTAAAACTGAAGCCTTGTACTTACTTGGTAAATGCTGTATTTGCTGGCCAGGCACAACTTTAGAAAAACTGTCCCAAAGAACTGTCATTTAGCAATTAACAACTTGAACTCATTTTAAATGTATAACCCTACTGCTTTGACTATTTTGCCCTTTTTGCCATTAGTAGCAAAATATGAGTAAATAAGGCAGAATGGTATTCATATACAGAATAGTTTAAAACATATATAAAAGATTGCAGTCCTATGGTATCACTTACTTTCTGTTTTCTAAGGAAAAGCTGAAATACCTGCTATCCATTTTCTACTACAAATTAGTTTGCCAGATACAGATCAGCAGCTTTTCCCCCCATCCCTTCAAGCTACATCTGTCCCTCCTTTTAACGATGCTAAACATTGCTCTGATTAAAAGCTTACCAGATAGGAACACTTCTCTCAGCTCTCAGTCCTTGCACTCTTCTCTCCGTGAGACACATCCACCTCTGTTTCGAATGAGAAGGTAAACGGAACAGGCTCTTACCCGAGACAGAGAAAACAATTCGTTCAGCTAGATCCAACAGTGCTCTGCGCAGCCTGGCAGCATGAGTGATCCTTGGGCCTCACACAAAAGCAAGATAATTGGCTCTCAATGAAGACATGTAAACATCCATCATCATGGCACTCCGGCTGAAACTGAACGCTGCCTCAGCTGTTCTGTGTACTCCGACTGGAAGATGATGTCACAAACATCAACTGGGTGTACTCTCATTGGCTTCTGTTACCTGGAATCATGTCTTAACCCTAAACTGTCAGCTGAAAATCAAAATGCTTCTCTCTAGCTGTAATTTCTGCTGAAAGAAGAATGAGAATTCTAAATAAGTTGTTGGAGGATGGCATACAAAAATATTGCCCTCCAAGTAGACTAAGACCTATGCAACTGATTTATTACTTAGGATATATTAGGAATTTTATTACTCTGGTGCATTTATTTTTAAAACTGCTACTTTTTAAAAAAGGCGATTAACTGGAAGAATAAGGAAATGATTAGAGTGATTGCAGTTTGGATTATATAATTGTTTAGATTGATTTCATAGTATGACACATTTGCATTTAAGAAAGTAAAGAAAAAGTATAACGTAGATAAATGTGCAATTCAATCTGCCCAGGAAAACATCTGTATTTTTAAGTTTCTAAGAGAAATAGAAAAAAAATAGCATATTTTATTCTCTGATGTTAAACAAGATCTTCAGTTTGTGCAGTAAAGCTTAAATTATGAAATATTGAAAAGTATAACTTTACAAAATGCTATTAAACATTGGATTCTAAAAATAGGTAATTTATAATTTTCTAAATAATGGACTCTAGGTAAAGATTCCTTCTAATCCCTTACCATTTCCAAAATGCATAAATTATTTTACTGGGTCATTTCAATAAAAGTTCCAAAAGTTTACAATGACTAGGAAAAAAAAACTGCCCCTCTCCCCTACTACTTTCTGACAGTTATGGCCATTGAATTAACTCATTCTGTGTATCATTTGTATGTGATCCTGGGGACAGGATTCTAGATGGACTTCAAGACGCAAGGCTATAATTTACAATCTGTAAGAACTTGATCCCATTAGCATCTATTATAAAGAGCAAGTGTGAGACTATCATCCATAGCAAAAATGATATACAGTAATGTGTACACTTGCCATACAAAACAAAGTATATTACATGGTAAAAATCAATAATATTGCTATGCATAAGATCATATATTCACTTCAGTGATGTTTATGAGGGTTAAAATGAAACATGAACTCAGTGCTCTCAAAATAATGAAAGAAGAAATATGTTAAACTCTTTAAATTTAAACTTTGACACAATATGGCAAATCAGTTTGGTTTATAATAGCAACTCACACTAAGGGATTTTTTTTCTTCAAAGTTGCTGCCTTTCCAGGATTATTTTGGATTTAATCATATTACTCAAGCCTAAGAAGAACCTAGATTTAAAAAAAAAATCTATTTGTCAAGATGTACTTTGAGCTACTGTGGAAGACACTGCTCATTTACTTCTGCCTAAAATCACAAGGTTTTAGATGGAAATCTGTATGACATGGAAAGTGAAATAAAATTGAATTACAAATCAGAAAGATGAATTTGGACAATGGGAATGTCAACTGTACTTCTGGCAGACAAATGATAAAGCTACAATATTATATTTGCTAAGAGGATATGTCATGGAGAAAATAATTTATAAAGTAAAATATGCTCCTCTACTTCATGTTTTATATAAAATATTAATGGTATGAATATTTAATGCCAGAGATAGATAACTAGAAAAAATTAGGTTATATCCAGCTGCACTAGAAAACATTCTGATATATATGCCATTCAGCTCTATCTTTATGATAAATGTATATTACAATAATTAAATGCACAAAATGGTAATATTTCTTCCTTTGCTTTGCATTTGCTCTAGTGCTTTCCATACAACTTCCAATAGCCTTAAAAATGGATCAAAATGAGAACTGGAGAATGATATGAGGAGTACCCCATTGTCATTTTGTATCAGTTACTTCCTTTCTATACATGATTCACCTATAGGTGATTTTCTAAGTACACAGTACAGGTTTCACATCATAAAAGTTATAATTTTAAGATGCATATTCTAATGCATATATATTCAAAAGGTTAGTATCTTCATCAACCAGTAATTTAAATTTTCAATAACATTCTAAGTGAAAAAAATATTTTCATATCTTAAAGGTTTGTATGAATTATTAAAATTAGCAAAATGTATTTTAACTAATAGGAGAAATAATGGGGAGAACAGTGGAGGGGAAATATTTGTTAATATTATTACTATAATCAATGAGCATTTAGTCCATAATTTTATTTTAACTTATTGGAGAGAGACTTGTGTGTGTGTGTGTGCAAGGGGGTGTGTGTTTGCGTGAATGTCTGTGTATCTGTGTGGAGGTCAGAGAGTGTATGTGCTGGCGCTCACAGGTGCCAGAAGAGGGCAATGGCAATGGTTACCAGTGGAGCCAAAATTACAGGCAGTTGTAAGCTGCCTCACTTGAGTGACGGGGATCAAACTGGGTCCTCTGCAAGAGCACTACATCCGCTTATGTGCTAAGCCATACTTCCAGCCAATATATATATATTACTTTTAAAAATGCATAGGCATATTCAGAGAGGATTTGATATAAACCTAGGATATAATTAATTGTATGTGAAAATCAATAAAATGACTGGGAGTAATGTAAGTGTCCTCTTTGCAAGAAAAATACAAACTGCATGTTATTTTTTTGAATAATAATTTTAACATTAATACACACCATAGTAAAAAAGCATTCTTTCAGTACTTTGAAAAAATGTTCAATTTTCATCATAGGGAAATAAACTTTTCACTTTAAAATACACTTCTTGACATTGCATCACTATTTATTATTTATTCCAGCTGTGATGGTCAGCTAGCATTTCTGAGTTCCAAAGAGAATAAAGTATGAAATTTAAAATCATATGAAAGAGGAAAACCACTATAAGGAATTAGTGTAGTCTTTATTTTTAGTATATTTATTATTGTATGTGTTATGATATAAAGAATATGGAGGCTCTAAATTATTTTTTTTAAAACCTGAGAAGTTATTTTGTAGTTCAGGCAAGTACATCTCACTCAGTTTTATTACCATACTTACGTGCTATACATTTCCCAAGAGCTGAAATCACTGCAGTATTTAATTGCCTGACAATTATTTCTGTTACATCAATTTTGTGGTTAAACTAATTATTTATATTATCAAAACAAATCAGCACTAGAGGCTAATTAGACTAGAGAAGCCATCGTACACTGTCTCTCATCTTACATATTAATAAGGTTTAGGTTAATATTAACTTTGCAAGAGATGATCATATCTTTCAGGTGATAATTTACAGACAGAGCATAGAAATTCAAACAAGCTTTAAATGGCCCTAACCAGTTTTCCTTTGAACAGTTAAGAATACTAAATTGCAGCATTCTGCATCATCTTGAAGCAGAGACTTGCCCATTACCTAGTTATCCACAAGATGGCAGCTCTGGGTATTTAGCCACTAAGGAATTTAATGTGATCCTGTTTTAGCTAATCATAACATGTAAAGCATGTGAATAACTTATAAGTATATATGTCCCTAATTATTTGATCTCCTAATTTTAGAATAATAAAATCTATTGAAAATACCAATTATTTAAATCACCTTAAAATATGTGATTTCAAAACACTGAAAGCTAGCTAACCCAGTGTCCAGCTATTTCATGATGAATAATTTCTGAAGTCACTATCCTTATAAGTTCTTGCTTTGTTTTAATTTTGTTTCAAAACAACGTATTTCTTTAAAATGCAAAGTTAGCATTTAAAACAAACCACTGCAGCAGTTTACCTTACTGAGACAGAGAGCTATGACAACCACATTTTCCATCTAGTCAGTTCCAGATATAATTTATTTTCAATAAGAATATCTATTTACTGATGGCACCTGAATCCCCCTTTAATATGTAATCATTTTCACAGTCACCCTTTTTTTTAATATCTACCCCAAATCTCTTTTGTTTAGACTCTACGTATACCATCATTATCTTTGTTTGAATACAGATAATTTTTTTTAAATACTCGGAATTATTGGGTCACATTTCTTTTCAGATAGTGGGTAACAAGTAGATACTTACTTGTGTTTACATGGCAGTAACTGTCACTTTGGGGAAGGATGAAATAATTTGAAAGGGATGACAAAAGGTAAAGAGAAATGTGAATCCTCATATATGAAGGCAAGGATCGAATGCAATTTCAAAACACCTGTTTGGAGTGCAACTTGCCCTATTTTAATGTATATGTTGAACATTTTAGATGACAATGGGAACTAAAATCTGATAGATACACAGACTTGTGTTTATCATGTTCTCTGAACAGTCATGTGTCCTGTGTTTACATGTTCCTCCTTCATTAACGGCATTTGATTTGATTTATAATGTCTATTTTTGTAGAAGCTTTTACAAATATTAATACCTCAATTGGCTCTTTGTATGTGTGTCATGCTATTCAAAGTTGATCAAATAATGGTAATTTTCCCATCTTAATGAAGTAGAGTAATACTGATATCATGAAAATTCAAAACTTGTATCTTGGCGAAAAATCATCTAGTGGAAATCACTTTATATTCTACCAAGAAATGGCCTCTTTATGCTAAATCCACAGTGCTTAAAACCTAGTTTCAGACACATCGATATTTCTATATGAAAGACACTGAGAAACAGTACCTTCCATGTTTATTTATCAGTACTAGTCCTTCCAGATACAGAATTACTTAAAGTATTCCGAACAATCCAATTATCACAAGTAGGCTTAGTATTATTTTAATAATAAATGAAACAGTGATATCATCACCATCATTGCCTTTTCCACCACTACTAACTCAGACTGGGATTATTTTGGACTAAGAACGATTCTAGCTATTCTAAACATTTTTCCTCGCCTGATTCATTTGTCTTATTTTAAACACTGCAAGAGAGAGGGTAAAATTTTTATAAGAGCTTTTATTGTATATGTTGTTTTGTGTGTCTAATGCAGTTCTACGTCTTTAACATGGACTATTTCTCATTAAATAAGAAGTCACTGTTTGTGTGTGTGTGTGTGTGTGTGTGTGTGTGTGTGTGTGTGTGTGTGTGTGTACAGCATGCAAATGCATCTGGGTATAACAGCTGTAT